ACCTGGACAGGGAGACCAGGACTATAGAGGGGTTTCACCCACATATTATGGACTAGGCTGTGATGAGTATGGCTCAGGAGGCTGTGAACCCTGCATCTAGTAAAGAAAGAGGCCGTGTGGTGGGATACAGCAAGCCTCTGAGGCTGAATCCCGTCCGCCAGAAATGTAGGACCCACGGGCACAGCCAGAGCTCTGCCACAACACACACACACACACACACACAAAATATATGAACAAAAGAAGTTACTTATCAAGTGTAGGATCAGTGTTAATGAGGGTAATCAAATCAGAGTGAATGTGGCTCATTCACAGCATTTGATGGGAAGATAGCCTTATAAATCTGTTAGGATGCATCTACACAGTAACCTTCACTTATTTCAGGGTTATTTCAAAATATCTTATTTTGTAATTTGGTGGCGTCTACACAGTGCCAAATTTCGAAACAACTGACTATTCCAAAATTCCTCTAAACCCCGGTGGAACAAGGGTTACCAGGATGTCAGAATAATCTGCCCATTATTTCGAAATCTATTTCAAAATAATGGGCTGCTTCAGTAGACGCAGAATAGCTATTTTGGGATTCTTCGGTATCCCAAAATAGCTCCAGAGTGTAGACATACCCTCAGTCTCTAAGGTGCCCCAGGACTCCTCGGTGTTTTTGCTGATACAAACTAACATGGCTACCCCTCTGAAAGTTTTATCATGACAAAGTAATATTGAACTCTTAGTACAATATAAGTGTTAAATGACAGCAATATGCAGAAGTGCTCCTTTATTAATGGGATAAAGTCCTAGTCTCATCAGTATCTATGGGATCAACGTCACTGGGGCCAGGATGTCATGCACTGTCTGCTCTGATGTAAACTGCTTCTAAAGGAAAAGGACACCTTCACTTAATCCTTTCACTGTTTTAATTTCTGAGGTTTTCCTAAATTTAGAAATCTGAAGATGGCCTCGTGTTTATATTAATTATGTAGAAATAACACCTTTTAAGTAGTAAAGTCAAGGTATTTAGCTACCCAAATAACATAAGAAGCCAAACAGAAAGATTTTTGTTGCAGTGTCAGTTGTCTGGTACCTGCTACAATAAGTTTAACTGGGTTCTGAGACATGCTATTCCCTTTATTGGATAACACAAAGTTCTAAAATGGTGATCAAAGAACTCCACAAGGAAACAAGCTGTCATTTGGACAGAAGTGTATTAAATCTGACAACAGCAAAGCCTATCTTCCAAAAAAAAAAGCCCAGTTTAGGTTTCCACACATTTGATTTTTAAAAAGCAAGGGCAAGGCTTTCCACCTACTTCTGGATGGGATGTCAAAATTTGCATTTCAGCAAGAATGTTTTGAGGAGGTCAGTGTACTAGATCCCAAAGGTATAAATGTCAGACTCCAGCTAGGAGGTATACTATTTCTCACATCAAAAAGCTGCCATCTGACAATTGACCAGAAATAATCCATAGGGGAATCTTCTCTTTGTTACTAAGAATAGAGGCACACCTCTTGGCAAAATGATTTCTTTCTTTATAGGGTAGAAATGTTCCAGGGAAAACCTTACCCCTGGCCTGTGTTACGTTTGGCTTTTTATCACTCTAATCACAGACTTGGGTGTGGCTGGAAGTATATTTCCCTTACAAAGAAAAGGAACTATATTTTATGTCTGTAATTTTGCATGCTATAATGTTTTACAATTCACAAGTTCATCTGTATAGCCACTGTTTTTGCCTCCTCATTGCTACAGCTTGATTTTTTCCAATTGCCATAAAAAGATTTTCCATGATTTTCAGGAGTTTATAATATGCCATAAAAACTTAATCCAAGCTAAAATGACAAATATTGCATTTCAATGTGTATGATTAAAAATGATGATTGAAAGTTCTAAAAATAAATGTTATGAAATTCCAGCGATTTCCTGAAGGGCAGAGTAACACAGCACAGAGAAAAGGGACAGTATCTTGTCGTGAGCTCATTACAATTGAGTGCTATTTTAGTTTGAGTCTTGACATCTTAAAAATAGCTTTCCTGGCTTTCTCAGTTAAAACTGCTACAAAAATGCTTCAGAGTATTTGATTTATTAAACCGAGCACCTTTTCATAAACAAAACTTAGTAAAGAAAGTAACAGATTTTTTGCATATTACACTTACTGTACAGAAATGCAATGGGTAATAGGACCAGTGGAAAAACTTTAGATGCGGATATATGCTTGGGACACAGAAAAAGCTGCACTGTATTAAGAACAAATAATTCAGCTTTGCAGCCATTTTTTATTTTGCTTGAAATAACCCCACAAACATTAGTAGAATATCATGAACAGATAACTATATCTTCAAGTAGAACAAACGTTTAGTTTATTAACCCTATCCTATAAATTTGATTAAAGTCTTTACAAATGTTTTAATCTAAAACAAGCCAACCACCTGGAGATGAAAAGACAGTTCTGAATTATTTCTTTTTAGCAAAATTGTAAGCATGGACACAGTACACTTGGTGGTGAATTATATCATAGTTCAGGTAAACACCAAAAGCTTAATGTAAGTGAAAGGCTGTTCAATCTCCAGGAATAATTAAATAACAAAAGTGTATGTTTCTCTCTCATTCATATCATATTTTAAGTCACCACAGTATTTGTGGTGATCACCCTCTTTCTGAGTTATTCAGCTGTCACTCTCTTCTGTAGTCTCAGGGTGGCTGCCCTTATATTTCATTTATTAGTACAGGTTTTCCCTTTAGATATGTGACGATCACCCCTTGCTGTGTGTAGGTTTGCAAAGGGCAACTATATAACTAAAATAACAGAATTTTTCAGTAATCTCTCTAACATATTCTGTTACTATCTTCTGAGTCAATAAAAACAAGTCTGACAGAACTTCACAGTGATAGTGGGCCACTGAACACTATATTCCTTGCAAATTTCAACATATATGGAAATCAGTGGTTAGATGGTGCTGACTAATTGAACAGGCTGAACTTGACACAGTTAAGCCCAAAGCTTTACCTACAGTAAATACTCAGAAACATTTCTTCTCCAATGCAAATGAGTAATTAACTAAGTATATGTGTCCCCCAAATTTTGTTTCTTTTCTTAAAATTGCTTTTTAATCATAAAAAACAATTTCACATTGGAGCTGGGCTAAATGGAGCCTTTAACAGTACTTTACAGTCCAGTGCCTGTGGGGTGAAATTTGTGTCTCAGTAAAGTTAAGACTAGTAACTATTGCTTCACTATCGTTTTATTCTGATGTTATTGGACTCAAGCTTAACAAGGGTATATTTAGAGCAGAAGCACCTGACACCCATATTATTTATCCCTAAAATGGTATAGATTGTCTAACAATTGAACCATGTTTATCTTTCATACAAATACAGATTTTATTCTTCATTTTGTGGGGAAAAAACCCCACGATTGTTGTTTGGCGTGGATACCCTGAGACAATGCAAAGGCACAGTCCTATACCTGGTAATAAAAAGTTCTCTTTTCTCAGGACCATTGAGGGCAGGTGAAATATTTTTTTAAAAACTGGAGGCTACAAGATGTACATATGCCATCTTGATTAAACATATGGAACACATACTTGAAGAAAAGCCAACTGGAGTCCTAGTTGAGTAATCAAAACACCCTAGCTGAGAGGGGTTAACATGCAAGGATCAGCTATGAACTTTGAAGTTTTCTGGTCTTCATTTTTCCTAATTAAGACAAGGTTTAATAACCAAACCACTGTACAAACGATGTACTTAAACTCTAAGTTTGTTTCTAATTTTGTTGGGAATTCCTAACAGATTCCAAGAAATCAGCACCCCATGAGAGAAGTTCACCAGTGAGATGGGCTGGTCCTTTCTCTGATGTACAATGGCAACATGCCTGCTTTCATCTTATTTTCTACCTTGTGACTGGCTTTCATATTTACCTGTCATATATGACTAGAAAAAGGGAAGGTGCATTGATTCATTTTTGTCAAAATTATTCAAAGCAGCCTGGCAAACATGTATTTAACTTCAGCTTGAAAATGAGTACAGTGCAATCAGTGGGATGGAAGAATGTGCACTAAGAAGGTTTTCCTGAAATTAGACCATTTAACTCCTCATATACCTCAGTTTTGGATTTTGGCAGTGTTCACAGTAAAAATGTATTTTTTGATGAAGCTGTGGCTATCTCTTTCATAAAACTATACTCCCTCTGCTATGAATATAGCTAGATTCTACAATCCACTATATTCCCTCTGCTATGAATATAGCTAGATTCTACAATCCACTATTAATTTGTCTCCACGTAGTCCTATTGATTTCTTACAGAATATTATTTTACATAAAAAACAGTAGTAGAATTGGACCCAAATTTATTAGCAGCAATAGTTGGTTCTCCTCTGACACATCTTTCAGAGTTAATTTTTATCCTGACAGGCAGGCAGGCAGACGATGGAAATTTTTTTACTTGTCAATTTTATATGTAAAGCAGAGTCTTGATAGGAGATTATAAAAAGTTGTTTTAGCTGATTAGTAAAGCCTCTAGATGTAAAAAGTTAATTCAACCATGAGGATGATTTTAAAGAACCTCCAATATATTGTTCACCATTAATTAATTAAACTTAAATATGAATCACGGGTAGCAACACAGAATTGCCTCCCAACAATGAAGTGAAATAAGTCAGAAATAAATCTAATAACCTTTTGAGGAATCATTTATCAATACAACAGGATTCTCTAAATAGTAGTTTAAAACTTCAAGAGAATCTGTTTGCTGTTTCATTTAATTATATTCTTCATGATGCCAATGTCTAGAGAACCAACTTTGGACAATCGTTTGGAATGACAGAAAGTGGATGTCTAGTCTAACATTCACATAACACTCACACCCACATCTTACATGCCTACGAAAAGAAAATGTGAACATGTAGCACGGACTTGCATGCTGCTTAAGTACAGCATTGTATCAGATATCCACCCTATCTTGTTAGTTTTTCATTCTCTGTGTGTATTGGAAAGGCTTTAGTTTGGGAGCTCACTTTGTTCATGTGGATCTGTTGCTGGTACTGTTTCTGCTTTTCGAGGAACTGCTGGTGCTGCTGCTGAATGACCAGCTGGGCCAACGTGCTTTGAGGCAGTGGAGCTGATTGGGTTCGATTCAGTGGCCTATGACGAGGCAACTTGTGGGCAACTCTGATGCCCGGTGAGACTCTTTCCTTTGTTGCTAATGGAGACTGTGGATGGAGAGGAACCCCCCCTGCAAAGCAATGAAATATCACTCATCAAATATAAGATCCGGTAGCATTAAGAAAACATACAAGTCAGGGACAACTTCAGTGCATCTGGCATACTGAAGAAATTTACAATAATATCAATAAAATGATACTCCTAGCACTTGTTACTTCCTGCAACAACAGCGAGCTTGACAGCCCCAAGAAAAACATGTTTTCTGCAGTCATTTTACTGTTAGACCTTGTCTACACTTACTGAGAAATCAAATTAGTGGGTCTAGTAAAGACCCGCTAAATCATCTGCTGACGTGCTCCCATTGGTTTCAGTACTCTACCAGGTCGCAAGGAGGAAGAGGAGTTGACGTGAGAGTTTCTCCCATTGCCCTCCTGCAGTGGGGATACCACAGTAAGTCAAACTAAGTATGTCAACTCCAGCTACACAAGTCACATAGTTGCAGTTGTGTACTTTAGTTCAACTTTGCCCCCTAGTGTAGACCTGGCCTTAGAAGCAAGAGCGAGAGGTTGGAGTAGACATTGCTTTTTCCTCCTCTTCCCCCAATGACTGAGAACTGTAGAATTTATGTATTGCATTTAATTTATAAATGAATTTGTTCACTTGTAAAGCACCATGTTAAGAAAAGTGCTAAGGGACACTCCAGTGAAGCCTTTGATAATTACCAGTCACAAGAAGCTTTTGCTGTCTCATTTGCTCCTTCAGTAACAAATGCTGCAGGAGAGCCTGATGGCTACTGTTAGGTTTTCCCTCTAGAGCAATATGAGGGTGTGCAGAAGAGGGAGGCATGCTTCCCCCATACTGTCCAGAAAGAGCCACTCCCTGCCTCAATGTCTGGGTCTCACACTTCTGCTTGTCTCTGAGTGAAGATGAAACCTGCATCAAGAAACAACATAGATGTTAGCCGCTTTTCAAAGAATTGGTCCATTAAATCCCCACATTATTAGCTGGACTTATTATACCCTTATTTAAAAGAAAAAGAAAATTCCCATCCTTAGCCTGTGGCTAAGGACTGAAAATGGAGAACATGCCTGTTATGGTAATATAGCATCATCAGTACACAGGGAACCTGCAATTAAGAGGTTACTCTCAGAGAATAAGATTGTGACCTTTCCTTACAATCATGTGTAGGAAAGTGTAGCCCTCCCTAGTCCCCTGCATAGGTCACTCAAATCAACCCTTTCTGTACAGCAGGAAGGAGAGGAACAGGGAGAAGAATGGGTGTCTTGAATTCAGTGAGAAGGAGGTGAGCTTTGGCTTTCCACACTGGCTTCGTATAGCTCAATCAGCAATACGTAGCCAAAGTGAGATCGGACGCTAACTACAGCCGGTATAGAGCTGGTGAATGTTACTTTCCTCTGAAACAATTTCTTCTCTTCTCCTGGGGCAGCACTATTATGCCTCTTTTTTCAGGGTGGACTCTAAAGTAACAATCTGGTCCATAGGAGTCAATGGAAGCTAATGGGCATTTAGCACTTTTAAATCCTCTGATTTAATTGCCTAAATACAGTTTATGGGACCTAAATATAGGCATTCATTTTTTAAAATCTTGACTCCTTAAGTATTGCAAATCTATTTCAGATATCTGTGTTTAAGCTAATGGATGCCCACATTTTCATTGAAAATATAAACTAGATTTTTAAAAAGGGTTGATAAAAAGTAATGAATAGCAGGAATATATATCTAATTGAGACTTAAGTCTTCAAATTACACTTATTTATTCTAGGAATTGCATAAACATCACATGCACAGATCAAATACACGTTCAATTTTCAAAAGCAGCATTTAGTATTAACTTACCTCAATATAAGTTTCTATGATATGTGTGTTTTTTCAAGAAAACAGCTTTTAATTTCATGTAATAAATTACTTTGACATTACTTACTGCTTGTTCTCAGTTAGATATTTTTGCAGAAAGGAAACAAATATTTATAAATAGTGTATTTTGGAATGTTGCTCACTGTTATTTATGATCAGCATCTTAACTAGAATGATTTATTTACTAGTGTCTGATGCAAGATTCCTAGAGAATTTATTTAGAGGTACAAAATTTCCTTTTGCAAACTTCAGGTGTCTGTTGTTAGAAAATAGCATCATATTTACCTACAGAAATTAACGAGGTAAAAACATGATATCGGAAA